TGCCCATTCGGTTTACAGAGTGGGCTATGATTTATCTGTTGCCAAAATAATGAATACATTTGAATGCGTGAATATAAATTGGGTTTCGAAGACTTCTTTGGCGATATATTGTTACATGACTTTCCATTTCGAGGGAAAAGTTGGCTTGAAGGAATTCGTGAAATGGTATCACCAATCCCTAACCGAAGAAGGATTGACTGTTGGATTGCGCGAGCTTGTCCTCGGCTCATCGTCATGCTACTCTCCAATGAAACTGTGCTAAGCTTTCGTCTGTCTCGCCATGACAGACATCATCGAAACAAGAATTCCTACTTTTCGAAATAGAACAAAGATAAACTCTAGTTCTTAAAGAATGGATTCTTGCTTTAGGCTTTGATTAGGTTTTAGAGACTACCAGTAAATCAGCTTTATGAGATGTTTTCATCCTATTTCGTTTAAGATAATGAAGGACTATTAGCTGAAATTTCCCATAATGATAGGAGCCAAAATGACGTTCCTCTTGAATTTCACACAGTCTTGCTTTCCCATAAGCTATTCTTATCCAGGGTAACCTGAAGTTTTGACCTTTCATTGGTATTATCAACACCTCCATGGGGACTCGAACAAGGACAGTACAGGCGAGGTTAAACCTACAGTCCACCCTGGATTAGAATGTCTTTAGGGTAAGCAGGATTATGTTAAATTCAATGGAGACGTCATGTCTACACATATCATTGTGGACAAATTCAACTACCAATCCTACACCACCCTAAAATGAAATATGATGAACACATCTCATATATGGATTATTGCATTGATGAAGTTTGTCACGGTGGTACCAATGAAAGAAGAAGGGTAGCGGGACGGTGAGCCGACGACTGGTTCGCAAAATCCAACAGCCTTCATTCCGCAAAAGTCCTCCCTCGATTTGTGGTGAGACCATTTAACGAATTCCTTCCAACCAATTTTTCATAAGAAATAGAAAGTCATGTCACAATCTATTTGAATGTCAGAAATGGGGAACCATTTATGCGGGAATGGGATATTCACTCACACTATGTCCCTTTAGGTAATTTACGGACTGACATTTGAGTTTTTCAACAATATGTTGCAAATGAATTTCATTTAGCCTTGCTTCCTAGACAGCATTCTCGTTCAAAGTGGATTGCCGTTTCAACCTCGCCTAGGTCTCAAGATTTACTGATAATATCGAAATTTTACCCAATTCAAATGCAATTAACACTGTCGTTCGTAATGGCAAATACAAATGTTACTTTAGTAACAATTCCACTATTAAAAATTGATACGAGAAAAGGCCTAGCTTGATTTAAAGATCACCTTTGCCCTGTGACAAACTGTCTTACCTCGAAGTTTTGTGTAGTGCTAACATATAGAAATTATATTCTGTACCAGCCTGACTAGAGTCCGGCTGTCGGTACCAATGAAGCCTAGTTGAAATAGAAATTGCATTTCGCCTTAAATGAGAGTACTTGTTGTGAAGAAAAACTAAATGAAATTCAATTGTGTCCTGAGTTCTACTCATATGATTGTTGGAAATTTTATCTATCAGCCCTTTATTACCTAAAGCGACTTAGGGTGACTAAAACCCTTGTTCAAGCTGTTTTAGCAGCCTTTAAGCCCTACTCAACCCGAATACTTATGCTTGAGTGATATACTTTGGTATGAAGAATGAAGTATGCACTCTTCCAAAAGAAGGCGACTCAACTACTTGATGCAATTAACGGCACAATTTTCCAACTGGGTTTGGAAAAATTCCTTAGTGATTTATTCTCGCACGACGTTTAATTTCGAATGAAAAGTTAGTTAAAAGGACTTCGTGAATGGATCTCACCGCAAAAGTAAGGAGGATTGCTTTATAGTAGAGACTGTTAAAATGTGAAAAGGAGTTCATCGGGGTGGCAGGACTCCTTTGAACAATCCCTTCGTAGCTTAGTGAGACTTATCCACGAATTCCTTTCAATCCACTTTTAGCTTAAAATTGAAAGTCATGTGCCACAATAAATGATTAAAGAATGCTTTGAAACTGTTTTCCTTCATAAGTACAAATTACTTAAGGTTTCCATTATTTTGTAAAATCTTCGTTCTATAGGTAAATCAAGAAATAAATGACCAGACAAGTCAATCACATTCTTTTTTTGTAACTTCAATTTTTACGCTGGGGTATCCA